TTGAATAGAGATAGGAGGAGTTATAGCACATCAGAGTTTGCTCGCGATCCCTTGTAATCAGTTTTATATTGAACTGAATAGGGGCAGGAAGCAAGGAAGTGCAGCGAGCAAGGCTGAACAAGCACAACACACAACTCCATCTATCTTTCTCTCTCTCTCTCTCTCTCTCTCTCTGCTGTGTTGTGTTAAAGCATGTGAAAGTGAACACCATCTACAGCTAAACAGACAGCCTTTTTAATGCTGTTCTCTCCTTGTAGTTCTCTGAAGAATACAGAAATGTGATGTCAGTGCATAACAAGATTTAGGAATAGTATAGTGATAGGCAGAGGAACCATTGAAAAAAATGGATCCTTGTCCCTTTGGCACTTGAAACGCATCACACGCCTCTGATTTAGAATGGTTTGTTTCTAGCTAGAGAGAATTTGTGAATTCCTTGACATTCAACAAAGCTTTTACAATCTAATAATAAAGGACGTAATTCCTGTTTGCAGGCGTGTCAACCTTGGCTTATCTGGTGTGAACGTTCTGTGGATTTTTGGAGACTAGTTGATTTGCCAGCCATGAAGTCTAACTACAAGAGGATAAACCCTTCCCCAGGAAGAGGATTTAGCAATGAGATTGTACTGCCTTGAATTGTCTGTGGGATATGAAGAGAGAGGTGTTTTTTGTTTTTTTTACAAAAGGACAAATGGACTAGTAAAAGATATTTTAGTGCTGTTTCTGTGCACAGGTTTAAATAGAAGGAAAGTTTAATTCTTTCTAGATGAACTGAATTGCACTTTTGAAGATTTTGGATTTTTCTTGGTGAGAAACCAGGAAGACAACTTGAAGACATCTGGTTTGCCACATTCTATTGATCAGGATCCCAAGCTCAGAAATAATACCGTTGAAATAAATCCGGAGTGCCCAAGTGTACAATTGATGATTGGTTCTGTACAACTAGTATATTAAATAGTAACACTAGCGTACCCTAAAAATCAAAAGGATATACTAAAATCAGGATTCTGTACAGTTCTGGTTCTCATCATCACAAAGGTATGTGCCTTACATTGATAGCACAGAAATGTTTTAATATTAACGTGTGCACGGTTTTATGTGAAAGTACTGGAGTTATTCCCGTAGCAACTTCTTGGGTCTGGTTTGCTTTGAGTACACTCCAAAAATTATTTTAAAGTTTAAAAATATTGTCTCTTTTTGATCATGCCTGTTTCCAGGATTCTTGAAAAATTGAACTTCACACTGTCATTCCATCAAAGCTCTCCCTGAAAAGCATCAGCAGCTTTTGTTCTCTGATATAACTGGATAATAGAAGCAGCAGCATTGTTAGACCAATACACATTTCTTTGGATAACCTATAATGTTGCTGTGAACAGAGGCGTATAGGAACGCCTGCTGTGCGAGTCCATGATGGCCTTCGCACCACTGAGGCTGCAGAAGAAGTTTGCTTCCTAGTTTGTTGTGGACCTCTTGGTGGAAGTTCTGCAGTTAGTTTTTCTGTACTCTGGTAGACCTCACTTAATAGTGGAAAGATCATTGCTTGCTTTGTTACCAAAAAATGAAAGTTTTCAAAACTATGCCTTCAGCAGCAGTTTGACACACCAAGGTAATTCAAACCTTACCAGGTTCTGTTAAAAGCAGTTTTAAAAAGCTCTTTTTCCTAGGGTTCAGCTGAAAGTTTCTGTCTACTCACTAGGCCTAGGTAACTGCAGTGCTAAATTTTTATTCTTTGGTCTGAGTCTAACGAGTCCAGTTCTGCAAAAGGTTTGTCACTAGTTTTGTCCTGATTACACAACAACCACAAGCAAGCTCGCGTGATGGCGGGGTGGTGTCCACAGCTGCTGGAAATACTGGCGGGGTGAGTTTTATAACCGTTGGCACAATCTGCTCAGCTGTTCTCATCGGTGCCGATATTAAATAGAATTGTTTGGGTTCAACATCTGCGCGTGCGTTTGGCTCCTGTATTTCCCACCTGCTGTTTTCTGGTCTTCGTGCAGCTGGTCCCTTCTTCTCTTTAATGTGCCCCAGAAGCAGAAGTGAATTGTTTCGCAGTCTTTAGCTAATAATGGAAAACTCACGTGCCCCATCAAATCTCACCTGCCCAGCACGAACTGGGCGCCTAAGCGGTCCTCCTTACTCGTATGCAATGGGGTAAAGCATGGCTGACTTTCCATGTGTTCTGTCTTCTCAGCTGCATCTCAGTTTCTCCATGATATGTTGTCCTTTTGAACAGGCATCCTGTAGCCCCCAGGCAACAAAGCCACAGATGTTAGGAGCCCCAGATGGGGCCTGCAAGCAGCAGTAACGTCCACAGATCCCACTCTTAGGACCGGACTGGCTCCCTGCCCCACCTCAGTTTTAAAAAATGCTTAAATTCTTTCCTGCAGGGGAAGACCGTATGTGCTCTTGTGATTCACATTAGGAGATAACCTGCAATCACTAAAACTGAAAATATTTGGGGTCTGGACATAATCACCTGAATTCAGCCAAATCCGATATCTATGTGTGATCTTTTAACAGGCTGACTTGAACTTTAGTAACCTACAGGCAACTTTTGCATAAGGTCTTTATATACCGTGCAGCCCATCTTCTGTAGTTTGCATCTCGGTAAAGCCGGCCGCGTTCCAGACTTCCTGTTTGTACCTTTCAAAAAAGAGAAATTAAACCAGGTTGGATGTGGGGGTTGGCCAGCCCTGCCCAGGTCTTACGCCCGAAACTTTTGCAATTTTCTTGGGCTCCAGTGGACTTCATCTCGGCATCTGTAAAAGTGAAGTAGATAAAAGAAGGATCCCAACAACCTGTAAAGCCTGCTTCATTGTAAAATGATCTGGGTCATCCCTCCCATGAAGCCCTGGTCTTTAATTTGGATTTCCCGGCCGGCCTGCGGTTGGTTAGTTCACGCAGCCCGCTGGGGTAGCACGTCAGCTTCGGGCTTTGCTGGAGGGCCGAGCCGAGCCGAAGGAGGGGTCGCAGCCGCTTTCGGCCTCGCTCCCCCGTGCCAGGCTGCCGAGTCCCGCCGTTCAAACTGGGCCGGGATAACCCGGGGTGGCGCCGCCTGGGGCGAGCGCGCTCGGTCCTGGGCGCCCCGTCAGCGTCCCCGGCCGGCCAAGCGCCGCAGCGAAGCCCCGCCGGCAGCCCCCGCGCGGGCGGCGCCTGCTCCGCGCGCCCTGCCCC